GCTCCAGATCTGAAAACATCCACAGGTGTTTCTGTCCATCCTTCCACTGTGAGAAGACGACTCAGCGCTGTGGGTCTGAGAGGATGTGTAGCTGTCAAGAAGAACCTCACTGAGAAAAGGAGACGGACACATCAGACAAAGAAGCTGAACAATGGACTGACCACCCCAGAGTCCAGACCTCAACATCACTGAATGCGTATGGGATTACCTGGACCACAAGAAGCAGGAAAATGCAAAACCAACTTCAATGACTGAACTTTAGAAGTGGGAAAATTTTCCCTTACGATTTCTTTGAGAAACTGAAACAAGTTCACTGAAAAGAATAGAAGTAATAAAAGGCGAAAGGTCGATACACTAAAAACTGACCTTATATTTAGTTAAATATGCTTTCTGCTTTTTTCTGATGCTTAAAAAAAATAACTGCCCATTTTGACTACAAATAAAATGAAATCTGTCTTTTACACAGGAGAACACAACAATAACGATAAAAAATCAGTACAACTGCTATTAGTTCAACAGTTTGTTGAAAACAAAGCTCAGGTTCATACATAACTTATGTTTTTTGCACATATCCTTTTATTTATATTAGAAAAATATGTTTAACCTTTTATTCTCCAGGGGTATATTTTGGTTTGTCCATCTGAATTTACATGACCAATTCGTAAGGCAAATTATTCAGTAACTGCATGAAATAAATGTACATTTTTATTTTATTTATTTTTTTTTGTAAAAGCTCCCCTCAAATTAACAGAACATGTGTTTTATGATCACACATATTGCTATATGCTCACAACTGACTGCTGAAAGCCAAAAATCTTAGACGCTCTTCGTATTATTTTATAAAAATAATGTTTACAGAGCAGATCACTGAAGAGACGCCATCTGTTTATAGTTTACAGCCCAGATTTGTGGAAAAATGGGTCGACTTTCAGTAGAAAAAAACTTCAGCTTCTTTTATTATAAGGGTTTAAAATCACATCACCCATCTATTTGACTGGAAAGAAGACAGTTACAGCTCTCATACGACCCCCACCTTTAGAATGTAGCTTATGAAATATGTAAGTTATTAAGAATATGACGAAGTGCGTTTTGGAACCACTGGTGGTTCCAAGGAGTTGAAAAGGTTAAAAGCATTTGCTGAGGACAGTCTTAACTCTGTCCAGGACGGTGAACTTTCGGTCAACTTGCCCTGAGGAAAAAGTCAACACTGAACCCTGCAGGGATACGATTCGTCTGTAGGGGTGTAGCTCCTGCTCTCCACAGCACTATTCTGGGAGCCACTAAAGATCAGAGGCAAAAATCACAGGCCTGAGTTATGATGTCCTACCGCAGGTGCCTCATATGTGTGTGTGTGTGTGTGTGTGTGTGTGTGTGTGTGTGTGTGTGTGTATGAAAACACTAGACACGGATCAAGTTTAACCTTGGAGGGCCAGATTACTTTTAGCGAGTGCTAGTTATCTTGATCCTCCTCCCCCGTCTGCGTGGGTGTATGTGCGTAACCTGGGCAGCTTTAGTTTCCAGTTTCTCTCAGGACGCAGATGAGAGTGCAGCGCAGCAGGAGCTGGCATTTAACAGCAAATCTGTTTCCTAGAGTTTCCTTCCTCGCAGAGGTCTGGCGTTGCCGTAATCCTCACACGCACACACACAGTGCGAGCATCACACGAAATCAGGGCGGAACAAACACACAGACCCCTGAGAGCGCTCCGAGAACTCGCCAGTGTATTGTATTACTGTAACACACAACCCCTCATTTAAATAGTGTACAGCTAATTTAGGACTTTTCCTGTAAACCACAGTTCACAGTTCTCAATTTCAGAAACTCAGTCATTTATCAATGTTTCTGCTCTACTGCACCTCACAGTTAGGGCCCGTCTACATTTTCCATCTTTTTTTGTAGAAACTAGGAAGAGAAAGTTGACAAATCCAGCTAAAACAGGTTAAAGCAGTTGAAGAACACTGTTGATTGTTTTTGATAACCGATAAATTCATACAGTAAGTTTATACAGTTGCTATCGTGCTGCTACAGTAATCTAGCTTGTTAAGGTATTGTTGGGTGGTTGTTACCGTAGTAACTGCATAGCAACCTTAGCTGTTGCTATGGTTGCTGCGCCGGTACGTATAGTGGTTGCTAAGGGTGTTGCTAGGCCACTGTGACGGTACTTACTGCCATTGCTAAGGTGTTGCTAGGAAAATGCAACGGTATGCATTGTGGTTGCTAAGGTGTTGCTAGGAAAATGCAACGGTATGCACTGTGGTTGCTAAGGTGTTGCTAGGAAAATGCAACGGTATGCACTGTGGTTGCTAAGGTGTTGCTAGGCCATTGCTACGGTATGTATTGTAGTTGCTAAGGTGTTGCTAGGCCATTGCTATGGTATGCACTGTGGTTGCTAAGGTGTTGCTAGGCCATTGCTATGGTATGCACTGTGGTTGCTAAGGTGTTGCTAGGCCATTGCTATGGTATGCACTGTGGTTGCTACGGTGTTGCTAGGCCATTGCTACAGCATGCCATGTGGTTGCTAAGGCGTTTTTAGGCCATTGCTACGGGATGCACTGTGGTTACTAAGCTGTTGCTAGGCCATTGCTATGGTATGTATTGTGGTTGCTAAGGTGTTGCTGGGCAATTGCTATAGCATGCCATGTGGTTGCTAAGGTGTTGCTAGGCCACTGCTACGGGATGCCATGTGGTTGCTAAGATGTTGCTAGGCCATTGCTATGGTACGTACTGTGGTTGCTAAGGTGCTGCTGGGCAATTGCTATAGTATGTCATGTGGTTGCTAAGGTGTTGCTAGGCCACTGCTAGAACATGCCATGCAGCAGCTAAGGTGTTGCTAGGCCACTGCTTCAGTATGCATTGTCGTTGCTAAGGGTGTTGCTAGGCCATTGCGACAGTACGTTTTGCGGTTGCTAAAGTGTTGCTAGGCCATTGCTATGGTATACCATGTGGATGCTAAGGAGTTGCCACGCTGTTGCTACAGTATGCCATGTGGTTGCTAAGATGTTGCTATGCTGTTGCTACAGTATGCTATGTGGTTGCTAAGGTGTTGCTAGGTCGTAGCTACGGTATCCCATACTTGTGTAACAGTGAGATAACAGGAGTCTACTCTGACTGCAGTCGAATAAGAGGATATGGTAGAAGCACTGTAGCATTTATATTAAAGATCATGTATTTTGTCAATAATTTATTTCAAGACTTGATTAATCATTATGCTATTACATTATTATACATGTGGAATGAGTTTCAGGATGTTCCAGGATGCATTCCATGATAATTAAACCGTGTCTGAAGAACAGAATAATAGGGAGAATTAAAAGGAAAAAACTAAGACTATCAAACTGGCTTTTTCAAAAACGCAGCACTGTAGTATGTAGTCCTGCATACTCACTTCAGTCTATAAAACAGTCCCCTCTCTGCAGGCTGAATTAAAAGCATGTCGTAAACACAGCGGTTTTCCCTGCCATAGATCAGCTCACTTCCTGCTGCTCCACGTCGCCCCAGGACTCTCCGAGACAGTACAGAGGCAGTGGCAGCGTCCCACTCGCGGACTATTCAGCACCGCAGCACATCGCCGATTTCACACAGTGATTTAGGGTCAGTGCACACAAAAACCTTCTGGAGAGCTGCTGGGAAAACTCTCAGCATCCTCTGGCAGCACCAGTCAGTCTGCTTTTCCTGGACACTGGCAAACAGGAAAATGCTAATTTCTCCCTCACACACATCCACTGTAGGGGTCTGAATCACTGTCTCATGGATACAGTACACATCAAGATACATGGGCAGCAATTCAATACAGCAGTGAGGCAGAGTCGGATCAATACGCTGTTAAACAATACAAGAAACTGCAGAGCAATCCGGTAACTATTCTCAGCTAGAATCTGAAACACGCCAAGAAAGACAGCCAAACGTTGAGGATGCATCAGATTTCTGTAAGTGAACTGCTTTGCAGGTCCTTGTATTGCTTAATAGTGTATTGAACTAAATCCAATCGCATTATTGTATTGATCTGTGGCCGTTAACGCACCCACCATGCAGCACGCACTGTACGGCAATCGTACTGTCATAATTTGACAAACTAAATTTACCTTTGGAAAAATAATCAAAGATCAATAACATCTGCTTTCTTAAATGACAAATAAATGACTAAATGATTTATTACATAACAAAAATCTCATTTGCTATTACTATTTCTCTGTTACAGCTGGGCTAAACAAGAAAAAAACAACTGTACATTGTACATATAGTTGCTGTCGGAAGAAAACCTTGTATATCCATTTTTGGCCTTTTTCAGTTTTTGGCATAATTTGAAAATGCCTGTTGTCTTTTACATTGTGTGTAAATTTCATGATGAATGGACCAAAAGAAACGGCCCAAAATGACCACATTCACACGGTCCTGACCAAACGGAGAGCCATTCTGAACAACAAAATGAGAAATGGGACACCCTAAGGGCGAGGACCGCAGGGCTTCCAGTGCGCCAAACGGGACAGGGCTATCGTGAAATCGTAGACCACTTTGTCGTCCGCACTATTAGCACGATAATTTTCTTGAAATTCTCACAAATAAGCATTTTAACAGTGAAAAGTCTGTCAGTCAGACTGACACCTTAGGGCAGTTTGGACAAGGCTGCTCTTGATGGAGCAAAGAAAAAAGCCAGAAAACTCTTAAAACAGAAAAAACAAGAGAAGAAACCCCACCAAAGCAAAGTAAATCCAGCAACCCACAATAAACAAGTCTTCAGCGAAAGCAAAAGCAGATTTGGGGATCATGCAGGACACAGAACTCCAAAAAGGAAGGCCGTGAGGGGGTCAAAAACGTGAAGAGAAAAATAATTAAATAAATAAAAACCAAAGTCGAATCGCAAAACAAGAGGAAGCGCAGTGCGGGACAGTGAGCGTGAGGAGTTCCAGCTCCGAACAAGCAGCCGAAAGAAAAACAGGGGAGCAGCAGACTGAACCGTGAGGGAGGAAAAAAAAAGGGGACAGAGCGAGTGGGAGATTCTGACCTGTAACTCTTCCACGATGTTCAACAAGACGACAGGATCCTTCCTTCAGAGAGAATTAAAAAATCCTCCAGCTAGAAAGAGAGAGAGAGAGACACAGAGACACAAAGAGAGAGAGAGAGAGAGAGAGAGAGGTGGCAAAACAGAGTTAATCAATGTGGACTATTTGTGATGTGATGGGTTATGACAGTAGATGCTGATGACATGCTTTAAAGGAACACTGCGCAGTTTTCAGCCTAACCCTCCGTTCACACCGGCAGCGGCGCGGCAGCTGGTGATTTCCGGCGACAGGAGGCGGCGCGAAAGTTGGTGAGGCGAAGTGGGCGGAGTCGACGACGCAACAAAGTTGAGCGGAGTTTAACTTTATGCAAATAAGGAGCGAAGCGATGTGGTGATTACCAATAGGAACTGAGCACTGAGCAGCGTAGTACGCGCTTTATCTCCGCTACTGTGAAACGGTCCTAGATAACTGTTCCTACTACAGGGGTAACAATGGCGGCGATGCTTTCGCAGCAAATAGACAGTAAAAAAGACCAAATACCGTTTTCCTCACAAACTGACCGCACAGACGCAGAGATTAAATTAAAACAAGCACATAAGTGATTTCTCACCAGGATTTTTATTTATAGCGGGTACGCCTCTGATTTGTGCTTGGCATCAGTGAAACCATGGCAACCAACAGTCCACTCAAGTTCAGAATCACGAGTTCAGAATGAGCGACCAGCGTTTTTGGCAACAAGAGGCGAAAAGTCGCTGCCGGTGTGAACGTAGGGTAATACTTCATCTCATGTAGCGCAGGATTGACCACCACAGGAAACTGATTTTGATGCGTTTTCCTGTACTTAAAAAAATAGGCCAAAAAACGCCGTTGCTGATTTCAGCGAGTAACATTTTTTAGAACATGTTCCTTTAAATTAAGCTGTAAATCTGTATAATCAAATCTCTTCCATGAACCATGTGGACAGCAAATTAATATTCCAAACATTTATTCACTGAATTCAGCCACTGATCATTGTTTTCTATTTTAAGCAGGGATGCGCTGATGTGGGAGTCATGGGCTGGTGCCAACGCTGATACAGAAACACTTCTAAAATGTAGAAATTTGGACTAAATCCACTGGATCAGCATTACAAAGAAACAAATATATTTCTGTTGGGTTACAAATGCAGTAAAATGACTAAAATGCAGATATTTTAGTTTAGCAACCCAGCATCACCTAATCACTTCAGAAGTATAATAACTACATCAGATATCAATTTGAAATAAGAATCAAATGTCAGATGCTGATTTGTAGCCGAGATCCAAGTCCACAGATTCTCCACGCTTCCAGATTTTGATCTGTGGTAATCAAGCGAACGCTACAGACGCAGCAGATGGGGATTACGTTTAAAAAGCTGGAGTATTCCTTTAAAACAATAGATAAGAAGTGGAATGGAGACTAATGCATAATAACAGCAAAATACAGACATGCAGAAGCACCAAACAAACAGAGCCCACCCTCAGCTCCAGGGCCGTCTACTCATCATTAACAGAGTCCTGATACAAACAGAACCAAACAGACACTCACTCACTCACTCTCAGGCAGATCTGTCTGAACAGGAAGAGACCAGGCCGCTGTCTGAGTTTACTTTGAGGGAGGAGCTGATGAGGTCGTCACCCTCGTAAAAACACTCACACTGACGAGTGTGTCTGTTTGTGGTGTGTGTGTGTGGTGCGTGTGTGTGGTGTGTGTGTGGTGCGGACGCAATGAGGCCATTCAGACATTTCATAGTTCACTTACAGACATAAGCGCACATGCTCACACAGAACATTGCTAGATTGATATCACAGCTTCAACATGCAAAAGTTCATGCACGTGTGTGTGTGTGTGTGTGTGTGAGAGAGAGAGAATAAATAAATGAATGAAAGAACAAACAAACATTACAAAACACAGGAAAAAACACTGCAATTTATGTTTTATTTACTATCCAAAACCGGTGGTTTTGTATATCTAACAAAATGTCTATGTTTGTGTTGTAGTCATGGCGACCCCTGGTTCCTATCACCACCACTGTAAAGACATCTGAGTTAATCATCTTCTCTACAATGATTGCATATTATGTGCCAAACAGCAACTGAATTTCAATTCGACCAACCAGAGATGCATCTGACTATCAAGTGTAAACTTACGTGGACAAAATCCTTTCAGGTTGCAATCCAGATACTAGTCACATGAAATGCTCAGGTACAAACGGGGTCTAATACAAAATGCAACTAAAAACAAAATGCAATGATGCGCAAATCATTTAAACCCTGTGTTTAATTGAAAATTGTACAAAGACAAGATATCAAATGTTTTCATTATTTTATTTTTTTAATATTCGCCCATTTAGAATTTGATGACAGCAACGCGTTTCAAAAAAGGACAAGGGCAACAAAAGACTGGTAAGCCGTGTAATGCTAAAAAAAATAATAACATTAATAAAAATAAAATAAAGATACAAAAAAAACCTGATGGAACATTTTACAACTAATGAGATTAACTGGCAACAGGTCAGTAACAGAACTGGGTATAAAAAGAGCATCTCAGAGAGTCTGAGATGAGGAGGGGTTCACCACTCTGTGAAAGACTGCACAGACAAATAGTGCAACAATTCAAGAATAACTTTTCTCAACATAAAAAGCAAAGAATTCAGGGATTTCATCATCTATAGTACATAATATCATTAAAAGGTTCAGAGAATCTGGAGAAATCTCTGTATGCAGAGGACAAGGCCGAAAACCAGTACTGGCTGGCCGTGATCTTCGGGCCGTCAGATGGCACTACATTAAAAACAGACATGATTCTGTAGTGGAAATCACTACATGGGCTCAGGAACACTTCTGAAAACCACTGTCCGTGAACACAGCTCGCTGCTGCATCCACAAGCGCAAGCCAAAACTTTATATATGGTTTCTTCTTTGCATGGTAAATAGGACCCAGAAACGCCGCCGCCTTCTCTGGGCCCAAGCTCATTTAAGATGGACTGACACGAAGTGGAGAAGTGTCCTGTGGTCCGATGAATCAAAATTTGAAATTCTTTATGAAAATCATGGACAAAAGAAGAGGTGATGCAGCACAGTGGTAAATCTGTTCCTGTCTCAACTTTATCAAAACTTGTTGCATCAAATTCAAAACGGGCATATAATAAAAAAAAATCTCAGTTTTAACATTTGATATGTTGTGTTTGTACTATTTTCAATTGAACACAGGGTTTAAACGATTCACACTTCTTTGCATTCTATTTTTATTTAGATTTTGCACAGTGCCCCAACTTTTTTTTGGAAACAGGGTTGTAAGCAAGCAAATCTCCTTATAAGTCATGCAAGCCTTGCAAAAGAGATTTATGTAAAAACACGTTATGGCATGAGTTGTTTTCCAAAAGCAGTGAGATTATATTCCTGGCATTTGTTCAGCAGTAAAAATTCAACCCTTAAGGGCAATAAAAGCGAAGTATCCACCCACTCAGCACTGCACGGCACGCCAGCTCAAACCTTCACCCACATTTATTTACCATTACGAGGAGAGAGAGAGAGACTTTTCTTCTGGTACACAACCTGTTGCTAGACCCCCATACAAACACATACATACGCACACAAACAAACGGTCCAAGCTATGATTACAAAACAGCCATTGTTTTCTAAGCACATGCAAATGAGGAAGGTCTCTAGACTGTGGGCCGGCTGATAAAATGTCTGTGCATTTATGCAAAGCTAAATTATGCCTCTATTACAGCTCAAAACAGACATCCAGCTAGAAAAAAGACAAAAGAAAGATTGAGGTCATCCTGGCAGCAGTGTGGAGTTCCTCTAGTAGTGATTAAGACTTGTTTAATAGGGAGAGGCTGATCCGAGATCTGTCCAGGGGTTAAACAGGCCATACAGTGAGATAACAGATGGGCGTCTATTCTGTTTACGTTCTTTTCCTCACAAACTGAAGACGCTTCAATACGTCACGAGTCTCCAGACCCTCCCCTGAAGCAGTGCGAGGAGAGGAGCATGAAACTTCTTCAGTGCTTCACAACCTGACCTTGGGTCAAACCAAGTGTGAAAGTTTAAAAGGGCTCATAGAATTGAAAATTCCTTCAATTTTCCAGTTCACACCGTCCACATACGGAAACTTGGCTACAAAAACAGCCTGTTTTGATGACGTTTGATGTTTTTGTGATGTCACAAACACCAGTGTGTTTAAGTAAACCACCTATTCAGCCTGCAGCAGTTTAACTCCGCCCAATCAGCTTAAAGGCGCCATAGAATGGAAAACCATTTACACCGACAACTGTATTTACAGTCTTGACTCATTAATATTTATGCCCCCAAAAATGACATACAATGACAACAGAGCAACAGGAAAAAATATGGAAGACTAGGCACAGAGATATAACGTTACTATTCCGGGCTGTAAAGAGGATGTCGGTACTTTTCATACTCTTTCCTAGGAACCGAACTGGGGCTGATCGATGTTCATCTTTAAACGAGGCTGAAGTTGGCTTCCTATTTGCCAGCTACTTAATGGAATTTCCCATTCCACCTTAAATGCTACAGGTACCGGATTGTAACTGTGGTACCATTTAAGGTGGAACAGACAATTTGCAAAACAAGCTGGCGAATAAAAAGCCAATTTTAGCTCCCACATCTTTAACAAGATCCTGGACAAAGTTGTTAGTTCGCTCTGCATATATTTCCATATTTCCACATATGGAAAACAATAAGATGCAAAAAACAGCCTGATTTGAATTCATTATTTTTGTGATGTCACAAACAAAAAATTACACTTTCTCATATATGCCCTATAGCGGTTTAGCCACGCCCATTCTCACTGAAGTTATAAAGCGTGTTTCAGCCCAGACTGCTTCTTGAACAAAGCACAATACAGCACAGCCAATCAAAACAAAACTTATTTGCATATATCAGTTCAAACAGAACAGTAAAAAAACGCCTGTCTAAGGTTTGGAAAATGGTCTTGAAAAAATGACTTAGGACTGTTTCTGGTACACAGTTGATACAGGTGGACCTCTGGAAGAGGGAAAAAAAAAAAATCATAATCCTAAGACCG